GGCTACTTAGCCCACCGTAACATCTTCAAAATTGGAGCTCTTAAAAGGAACACTTAACATAAGCTCAACATGGCTCCAATTGAATATGGCCCCTAATTACATAGCTTCCAAGAGCCTAACATGGATCAACATAGACCCAACATAGGCTCCATATATCTCCATACACGCCCAACATGGTCCCGACATGATCCAAAAACGACGTGTTCCTTTTGGGCCGGGTAAAGGCTTAAAAGGAGCACGCCGTTCTTGGCTTAACATAAGCTTCATAAGCTCAACAGAATATGGCCCAAAGAAAGCCTGCAAGAGCCTAACATGGATCAACATGGGCCCAACATAGGCTAATAGGCTCCATATGCGCCCAACACGGTCCCGACATGATCCAAAAACGACGTGTTCCTTTTTGGCCGGGTAAAGGCTTAAAAGGAACACGCTGTTCTTGGCTTAACATAAGCTCAACAAGGCTCGAGTATGGGCCCAACATAGCCTCCAAGAGGCTAACATGGACCAACATAGACCCAACATAGGCTCCATATACCTCCATACACGCCCAACATGGTCCCGACATGATCCAAAAACGACGTGTTCCTTTTGGGCCGGGTAGAGGCTTAAAAGGAACACGCTGTTCTTGGCTTAACATAAGCTCAACAAGGCTCGAGTATGGGCCCAACATAGCCTCCAAGAGCCTAACATGGATCAACATAGGCCCAGCATAGGCTCCATGTACACCCAACATGGTCCCGACATGATCCAAAAACGACGTGTTCCTTTTTGGCCGGGTAAAGGCTTAAAAGGAGCACGCTGTTCTTGGCTTAACATAAGCTCAACACGGCTCGAATATGGCTCCAGCAAAGCCTCCAAAAGCCTAACATGGAACAACATAGGCCCAACATAGGCTCCATATGCGCCCAACAGGGTCCCAACATGATCCAAAAATCGCGTGCTCCTTTTGGGCCGGGTAAAGGCTCAAAAGGAAGACGCAAACCTGGCTTAACATACGCTCAAAATGGCTCGAATTTGAGCCCAACATAGCCTCCAAGAGCCTAACATGGATCAACATAGGCCAAACATAGGCTTGATATACGCCCAACATGACCCGACATGATCCAAAACGACGTGTTCCTTTTGGGCCGGGTAAGGGCTTAAAAGGAACACGCTGCTCTTGGCTTAACATAAGCTCAACATGACCCGAATATAGCCCCAACATAGCCTCCAAGTTGCCAAGAGCCTAACATGGAGCAGCATAGGCCAAGTATAGCTCCATATACGCAGGTGGCACCGAGCCTCTCAGTTGGCACGGCCACTTGCAGCATGGCAACGGGGGTAGTCACAACGCAACAAGGTGTGCTAGCGCTGCTGACTACTGTCACTATGCGTGCAACCAATAAATCAGAATATACGCCAGAAGAATTTCTCAGCCTATAGCAACCCATCTGTCTACCATCCTATCAACCTATATATCTATCTCTTACTCTATCCACTGGTCCATGTCTCCATCTCACATCAAGCGCGCTAGCTGTCATCCGCTTGTAGCCAAAGACAGATGACGTGACGATCTACTTTCAGCACAGGCATGGCTGTATGTCAGCTTGTCATTGCAGCCTGCTGCCGACAAAGCTTCCATGACCTGTAGACATCTAGCTATCTATCTAGCAACCGACCTATCTGTCCAGCCTTCCGTCAAGCCATCCATGCATCAACATGACTTTCATTGTCACTCACTCACCCACTCACTCACTCACTCACTCACTCTCTCTCTCTCTCTCTCCCGCTCCCTTCTTGATGCCCCCATCTCTGCATTCTGCATCTAGGTAGCTATGCGAAGCTCGCTGCCAACAATTCATGCTATCTGGTGCTTCTGGCCCTACTCGGCAATTCTCTTGATCTCTTCATGCATCCCTCAAGTAAACTATGTATCTATCTATCTAGCACGGAATCCACTCTGAGTGCGGCTTCTTCTTAACATCTCTCAAGCAGCGCCTGCATATCTAAAAAATGCCTTTTGTGCATCTGGCAATCGGGCTTCACATGATAGCGTCCACCAGAAGCAGCCAGATAGACTGGGCCGAAAATTGGTCATCACAAGAATCTTTCTGGACTGAGGCTGCAAAATTTTGGAGGCTTTGGAAACTTTGCGATCACATCTTCACTACGAAATCCACATGGTCGGCAGAGACACTTTACAAGTAGGCTCCCCGTAGCCAAGCCTATTGCGAAGGCAGCCGCCACAATCCCCTCCAACAGACCCATGTATCTTGGCACCCGAGATTGCAACCTAAATGCCTTGAACCTTCTACAAAATGGTAGTTTGGTAGTCAGAGTATCATGGAAATGCTTGTGGCTGCGATGGCGCCCCTCCATTTTGTAAACAGATTGTTTGTTCTGGATGGTGCCGGCCAGCAGCGCCAGGAGCATGAAGCAAGCCATGTGAAACCACAACATGGCAACTCACTGGTGATCTGGGGCTTTGTGGAGCTGTCTCTGGTGAGCCCTTGAAAAGCGGCCGGCAACCTCCCTTGTTGAAACATATTCAAATTGTTTCAAATTTGTGGGCGCATTTCTTGTTCAATGGATTGCAGGAAGCCATAGAGCATCCTCTATCTGGATTCTGCGACGGGACCCGGTTTTCTTGTAGCTCCTCGAATTTGTGGCCTCGTTTATGCAAGGTCGCAACCGCTTGCATCACCATCGTCTCAGGTGGAAAGCCAATGGAACACATGGAGGGCCGGGATGTGATGGAATCAATTTGAATTAAATATGTGGTAGGAATATCATGGCGATTGATGGCGATTGTATATGCATCGCGCTGAGTAAGTGGTTTGGAAGTCAGAAAAACTCTTGATCTAGCTGGGTGTATAGCCCAACTCGGGATAGCTATATAATTTTGTATGTTTTAATCTCTTCTCCCTAATGCTAAAACTCCACCAATTAATAAAAATAGGAATGGATTGGCAATTTCGTTTTTTTTTGGTGGGTTACAATTGCGTTCTTACTTGTGGTAATTGAAAATCAATAGGAGAACTGGATGGTGAAATAATGGCTTGTACCCCCTATTAATGGAAATAGGATCACACCTAATGTTTCTTCTATTAGGGTCCTAATGATTTCCTGCCTCCCTGTCCCATCTGCTAAGTTTTTGGCAACTTTTATAAGTATTTTTGAGGGAAGTGATGCATTTGGAGTAGCAGCAAGACTTCTGGCAAAGTTTTTTTTAAAATAAGGATCTTCCTAACAGGGGCTGACCTTACTCCAGCTAGGTTTTTGGCAACTTTCATAAGGGTTTTTTAAAGGGAAGTGGTGCATTTGGAGCAGCAGCAAGACTTCTGGCAAATATTGTAGGTTGCTAAAACTAATGATAATCTCTGCTCTCTTATACGAATACAAACATGTAGGCCCCTAATACCAAATACCCGTAATAATAAAAATAAACCACCGTGTTTACAATTTGGGGGGTTGGTTTTAGTATTAGGGAGCAGAGATTAAGTATGGTGCAAAATATTCTTACAATGCCTGGGGTGCAGGCAAAAACTACCTCTAGTTGCCCTCTGGAAATCTAGGCTAGTGGTTTTGATTACAATAATGCTTTCCGACTCAACAGTAAGGAGTTTCCGGAGCAGACAAAGTCTAGAAACGCGGCAGCTGCAACATTACAACTGAAAACCCTATGAAACTATCGGTTGGTAACTGGAAGGCGCCCATCTCCACACATGTAAGGAGCCAAGTGAATGGCACGGGTCAAACATCTCAACATTTGGAATTCTCACTCAAATGGGATGATCTGCGCAAAAAAAAAGATCAAACTAATCCAAACTTGGGCCTTAAGATGCCTTAAGTTTTGATCGTCTAGATCCGTGCCATTGAAAAACACCGAGTAGCCATCGTAAACGGCGCGATGCTGCGCAGAAGTTCGGGGGTGTTAGTGTTTCCGCCGCACAGCTTCTGCAAGGTATTCTTCGGAAGGTCTGTCACGGCAGGGGACATCATTAAATCGTGGCAAGGCACCCTTTAGCTGTTCGGGTTTAGAGCCCCATCTATGAAAAATAGCAACATTTGGCGCATATTGTATCTGTGTGGGGTAATTACCGATATATTCAAAATCATTCAAATATTTAATGGAAGGATCTATGTTCGACATGTCTTTCTTTGGCAAGGTGTTGAATGCCGCAGAATGTTTTTAATGGTGAGCATTATCGCTTTCCAAGTCTCAACATTATTCAAACAAATGAGACCACTCGAATACCCTGTTTCATTTTTTTTTGGGGGGGGGATCGTAGCCGAAGATATACATACAAGGTTGACCCATATTTAGAGCTAAAGCACATGCAAAGCCAAAATAAGCCAAATGCGCCATGTGAGGGGACGAGGGCCATATTTACAAAGGCATTTGCAACTTGATTTAGTACGCTTAGCTCTGTTAAACAAGGAAACCCACGGAAAGGAATAGACTCCATGCGGATTCCTTCGAAAAAGGCCAACTTGAACTCCAAATTGGATGCAACCTCCACTGATGAGTGACTTGTTCAAACATATTAAACAGCCAGGTCCCACCTTGATGACATCTTTCCGTGGTCTCTCCTTAGTGTCACTGCCGTGTGCTCCGGGGATGGAAAATTTAGAAACATGGCCGTACTGCAGCTAAGTGTTCAACGCTGTGAAGTTCTGCAAAGTTAAAATTCCCAGGGTAAGGCACGCATTTTTCCTGATCAACTTGGTGCCTTCTTTGGAAAAACAAACCCCACCATCTGTGGTTTCTATGGCTATACCTGTTTGACCCATACCAAAACGTTCCCTCCAATGAACCCAGTTTATATCCGCTAATATCTGATCACCATGTGTGTATCCTCATCTTTCTTGGCTTTACCGCCGTGCGCCGAGCGACACAGGACGGCTGGCCCACACTTGCACATGATAATTTCCTATGAAGTTCGGACCCGTGGTACGGATAAAATGCCATTGGATCAGTGTGAGTCCCGATGTTTTATTCACCCTGGTGAATTCCCAAAACGTGACAGAAAAATATCTTGCCGAGTCCTTCGCCATCCCATAATTATGAGACGGTGGCCGTTTCGTCATAGCTAAATGGAAATCTTTATGTGCAATAACTCTACATCATTTTCTCGTTTTTTGGTTTCCGTTAACCCTTAGGGGCAAAAACGAGCTGGGAAATCACGTTTTGCCGCGCTCTGTCTCAAGCCATCACCTGTGACAACTCTCAGCCTGTTTCAGCGGGTTGTCCTGGCCATTCTCCCACTGCCACTGGTGAGGCATGGTGAGACCGTATCTTCCACGAAAGAATATGTTTTCCTTTTCCCCAACAGCGTAAGCTTGGGGTCTCCAGCCATAGTATAGAAGGTTCGAAGCAAGTCGGAGCAGCCCGAAATCCCATGACCAAAGTTCCCAAGCAAGGGTTGCCAGGAACAGGTCCCAAACAAGGGTTTATTATATTTGCAAACAAGGGCTGTGTTCCCAAATCAGGGTTCCCAGGAACAGGTTCCAAAGCAAAGATTCCCAGGAACAGGTCCCCAAGCAAGGGTTCCAAATCAGGTTCCCAAGCACAAGGTTCCGAATAATGGGTTCCCAGCAAGGTTCTCAAGAACAGGTTCCCAAGATTTCCCAAGCAATGTTCCCAAGCAAGGTTGCTGCTGCTATGTTAAGAAGTTCCCAAGAACAATTTCCCAAGCAAGGTTCCGAATGATAGGTTTCCAGCAAGGTTCCCAAGAACAGGTTTGCAAGCAAGGTTCCTAAGGGTTCCTAAGCAAGGTTGCTAAGCCTTAAGAAGTATATACCGAAGAAGAGGTTTCCCAGCAGGGTTCCCAAGCAAGGTTCCGAAGCAAAGTTCCGATGCGAGGTTCCCAAACAAGGATCCTAAGCTGGGTTTCTGAGCAAGTTGCCAAACAAGGTTCCAAAGCCAAGTTCCCAAGCAAGATTCTGAAGGCAATGTTCCGAGGCAAGGCTCCCAAGAACAGGTTCCTAAGAATAGGTTCCTAGGAGTAGATTTCCAAGCAAGGTTCCTAAGAACAGGTCCTAAGCAAGATTCCCAAGCAAGGTTCTCAAGAAACGTTTTCAAACATTAAGCACAGGTTTTCAAAAACCTGTTTCGCAAGGAAGGTGTCCAAGAAAAGGTTGCCAAGCGGAGTTCTCAAGCAAAGGTTCCCAAGAACAGGTTGCCAAGCAAGGTTATGTGCAAGGTTCCGATGTAAACAGATGTTGATCAAGGTTCCCGGGCATTGCTCCCCGGAACAAAATCCTCGGAGCACTTTTCCATGAACAGGTTCCTAAGCAAGGTTCCAAAGAACGGGTTTCTGAGAACAGGTTCCCAGGCAAGGTCTTCAAGAGCAGTTTCCCAAGAATAGGCTGCCAAGAACAGGTTTCCAAGCAAGGCTTTTGGGGAACAGATTCTGAAGCAAGTTTCGCACCAACCGGTGTTCAAAAAAGTTTGCAAGCAACGTGTCCGGAAGATGTGTTTGGGCAAGGCGATTTTAAAGCCAGGTAACTACCCAAGAACAGATTCCCAAGAAAGGTTGCGAGGAACAGGTTCCCAAGCAAGGTTCCGATAAACAAGTTCCCCATCTACCCTCAAGCAAGGTTCCCAAGAACAAGTTTGCAAGAACAGGTTCGCAAGCAAGGCCCCGAAAAAAGGTTCCCAAGTAAGTTCGATGCAGAAGTTTTATTCGGACCAGGTTGCCAACAACAGATTTCCAGACAAGGTCCGCAAGCTAGTTTCTGAGCAGCAAGGTTCCCAAGCAAGATTCCCGAGCAGAGCAGGCTTCCAAGCAAAGTCTCGGAAAAAGAGGTTGCAAGGAGGCTCCAAACAACAAGTTCCGAAAGCAAGTTTCGGAAGCAGGGCCCCCGACAAAGTTTCGGGTTTCGGAAGAAGAGTTCCAAAGAAAGGTTCCCAAGTGCAGCTTCCCAAGCAATGTTGCACACATGGTTACCCTACACTAATGCAACATTGCAACAATACAAACAGTTTCGCCATTTCCATCAATCTACGTATAAACAGAAGCAAAAAAAATAACATGCTGGTTTTCGATGCATTTTTTGGCTTTGACAGTGGTGATTTTTTTTTTTTGGGCGGCATTGCTCTTCACCGCCAAGTTGCTGCTCAAGAGGGACAGAAGAGCGCAAAAATCCTTCTCTTGCATGCTTGTAAGCGGCTCCTGCCAGCGTTTTCGCAACTATAGATATGGATAGACATAGGGTTTCGCCAACATGTGGATGAAACGATTTATGGGGATATCATGGGGGGTATAGCAAGAATATGATGGGATTTACCTACTTAACAGTATTTTTTTGTAAATATCCCATACATGTATGCGATATCAAAAAATATTTATATAAATATATACAACTGTTAAGAGTTAAGACATACCAGCAGAAAAATCATAAAAGCACATGCCAAGGCTCTTTCTTGGGCAGCAGTCCCGGCAAAATTCTTTGCACCACCTGGGCGAACCCGAAGTAGTCAAAATAGTTTCTGGTTCAGCCACCACTTTGAACCATCAAAAAAAACAATTGGGGACTACCCTCTGCTAATTTGACATACGTGACATAGCTATATGGGACATGGCCTTTTTATAGGTGATTTACAAATTAAACATTGCGATTTTCCATAGCTATGCAAACTTGCTCAAGGCCATACTGCCCCGTTTGCATGCAGGGCGTTTTCCGGCCTGGTTCCGGGAGGGTGGGGAGGTGGGTTTCGGGCTGGTTCCGGAAGGTTCTGGTGCGGGTTCCAGAAGTTCTGGCGCGGGCTTGTGTGGGGAGGTTCGGGACCCTCCCGTGCGGGTTGCGGGCTTGCATATATTGATGACACTTAAGCTTAATGAGATATATTTCCCGAATGTCCACTCAAGCAGGATTGGATGAGCAAAAAAATCAAAGAGAAGGCTGACTGCAACTTGGAAAGAAGGCCAATCCCTAGGGTCAACTAGCCCCAGCAGTCCCTGGCAACAATTGGCACATCCTTTGGCGTGGTGAGGAATTCTGGCAACCTTTTGGGGGGAAGATGGCCTTTGGGAGCAAGAAGGTTGCAGGCACTGAACTTGTACCTGGGTATGCGCGCATGGCGCCGCACATATATACTGTACCGACCAAAAGGTAATTGTTAATTCTTCCGACTTAGAAGAGCCACAGTCCAACTTAGCAGAGCTACACGCTGAAAGATTTTGTTGTACATTGTTTTCCCCGTGGCTTTCATGGAGGGCAGCCAACTCCCCTGTAGCCTTGCACATCGAACAGCCATCATGATATATTGCACCAGGGTCCTACAAGGCGATCCTGATTTTCTGTTCCTTTCCTGGGCCGCCAGGAAATATGTCATATCGGCCTTTATCTTTCTTCTCAGTCTTCGGCATTTTTTGGGAAGGAAGCTCTCCCATGCTCGGAAATCCATACTTTCTGTGCAAGAACTGCGCAATCTCACGCCGCTGTTCTCCCTTGCCCCGAAGGCCGGACGGCTTCTGCGTGTTGGATAATCTGGCAGATGCTCGGATGCTGTGGCATACTTTGTCCTCCGCAGACATCGCTCTGAGAACTTTCAAGCAAAGGGCCCAACCTCCAACCCTCGAAGGGGCTGAGTGCATGCTGTGCGAACTTGTTTTGCCATGGATCGGCAGCCGCGACAATCAAAATGGGACAATGTGTTTCACTCTTGTTGAGCTCACTGATCGTGCAGCATGCAGCAGGACTAGCTTTCTACTGTTGAAGCTATTTGCAACAAAAAGGTTTTGTCACCAGGTAGGATTAACAGAGTCGGCTTCAAAAGGACAATCTCTCTCATGTTCACCAGCAAAGTCTGGCACAAACAAAATTTTCAAAATCAGACGTTCAGCAACTTCCAGGATGACACTTTGCACAAATAATTTGCACTGAAAATCTCTCCAGTATCACTAATGTTTTTTGTCCCTTTGCCAGGCCAGGTTCCTGGATGCATTGTTTCCGGCAAGAAGGAATGCTCCAACAATGCTTGAAGTCAAGACCCCGAAAAATTCAGGGTAGGGAATTTCAAACCAGCATTGAGCCAACCTCGACATCTTTTGTCTCACTTGGAGAGGATTTTCCGCGGATGGGTTTTCGGGAAGATGAACACAATTCACGATATACAGGCAATTCGACAGTTCATCTCTACGCTGACCAAATGACAATCATGTCCACATCAGTGACATTCAACACAATATAATTAATATACGTATATTTAAGTGTGTATATATGAATATATAAATGAAGATGTGTGTGTGTGTGCGTGTGAACATATACAAATTCATGACGTGTCTTAGTGGACAACGCATTAGTTTATGCAAGTGCATCAATGCCATGGACAATGGGATAGCATGGTGACAGTGGTCCCGGCCCATGTGCTTGCATGTGCTGCGTCCGAGGGCCTCGAAATCCTCTTTCTGGTCAGCCTTTTGTCGCCTCTCCCTCTCTCGCACGTCCTGGGCGTCCAGTGGTGTTGGAGTTGCGTATCACGTGCGGCACGCTATGATTGAAAATGTATACCTGGAAGCCCAAGGCGGCAGGCGCTCTAAAAAGTGTCATCCAACGAAAGTCGATGGTTTTTAGTTCTTTCGCCCAAAAGTCGATTTTCGCTGTTTTTGCGCATACCCTATGCACATCCATTGCTGGGTGTTGTCCGCCAATTTTTCCGGAGTTGCGCTCTGCTTTTGAGCCACTATAGTCGGTTGCCGGTTGATTTTACTCAAAACTGAAAATTGAAAAAAGATGTGAAAAAAGGTGAACAAGTGCCGTGTTTTTCCGTATGCGGCGCGCGTATCCGCGTTCACCCGAGGCTCTGTTCACCGGTTGATCACCAAAGTCGATGGCTTTTGTTTCAGGCGACGATTTTTGGCCCCCGAAAGTCGATAGTTTTCGCAAAGGCGACAGGAAATTAGAGCAACTTTGGGGTTCCAGGTATATACTTATTATATATAGTTTACTTGGCTTCATTTGCATTCATGTCATTCATTGCATTCATTTCATTCCCTCATTCATTCATTCTTTCATTCAGTCAAGCAGTCAGGCAGTCAGTCACTCCATTTACTCATTCAGCCATCCTTCCATTCTTCTATGCATTCATTCATTTCATTTCAAAACATTCCATTTCATTCAACCATTAATTCACCCATTCATCAATTCATCCATTCATCCATTCATTCATCCATCCATCCATTCATTCATCCATTCATTCATTCATTCATTTCATTTCATTCATTCAACCATTCATTCATTCATTCATTGATTAATTCATTAATTCATTCATTCATTGCATTTCATTTCATTTCGTTTCATTTCATTTCATTTCATTTCTTTTCATGTCATTCATGTCATTCATTCATTCAATCATTCATTCATTCATTCATTCATTCATTCATTCATTCATTCATTCATTTCATCCATCATTCATTCATTCATTCATTCTTTCATTCACTCACTCACTCATTCATTCATTCATTCATTCACTCACTCATTCATTCATTCATTCATTTCATTCATTCATTCATTCATTTCATTCATTCATTCATTCATTCATTCATTCATTTCATTCATTCATTCATTCATTCATTCATTCATTCATTCATTCATTCATTCATTCCATCATTCATTCATTCATTCCATACATTCATTCATTCATTCATTCATTTCATTCATTCATTCATTTCATTCATTCATTCATTCATTCCATTCATTCCATTCATTCCATTCATTTCATTCATTCATTCATTTCATTCATTCATTCATCCATTCATCCATTCATCCATTCATCCATTCATCCATTCATTCATTCATTCATTCATTCATTCATTCATTCATTCATTCATTCATTTCATTCATTCATTCATTCATTCATTCATTCATTCATTCATTTCATTCATTCATTCATTCATTTATTCATTTCATTCATTCATTCATTTCATTCATTCATTCATTCATTCATTCATTTCATTCATTCATTCATTCATTCATTCATTCATTCATTCATTCATTCATTCATTCATTCATTCATTCATTTCATTCCATTCATTCATTCATTCA